CCTCTAGCATTTGTCGACAAATTGGAAGACACGGATGTTATTAGTGGACAAAATTTGGTTTTAACCTGTCGATGTCAAGGCATTCCTAAGCCAACAATTAAATGGTTTCAAAACGATGTTGAAATTAAATCAACAACAAAACAAAAGATTGAATCGAAACCTGACGGCACACAGACATTAACCATCAATCGTGTTGATTTAACCGATGGTGGACAATTCAAGATTGTGGCAACGAATCCACAAGGTACCGTTACATCGACATGTAACGTGAATGTTGTCATGAAACCGAAAATTGATACAAAACCACAAGATATTCAAGTCACTGTTGGTGAACCTGCTGAATTAAACGTTAAATTATCAGGCATACCAAGACCGCAAATTCAATGGCTGAAGAATGGCCAACCATTGACGATTGACAATAAACGTATCAAGACTATCGACAAAGACGATAGCTCTTCATTAATTATTGACAATACTCAACTCGACGATAAGGCGACATATACATGCCAAGCAACAAATAGTGCCGGCACAGCAGAAGTGAAATTGAACCTTAATGTTCAACAAATCAAACCAAGTCTCAAATCGGACCTCGCCAAAGATATCAGCGTGCAAGCCGGAGAAACAGTCCCATTGACAATTAAAGCAACTGGCACTAAACCAAAAGTCAAATGGTATAAGAATGGCGAAGAGATTATCGAAACTGTTGAGGAAAGCTACGAAATTGTTGAAGAAGAAGAGACATATACATTATTAATCAAAAATGCTAAACCAAAAGATAGTGGTGAATACCAGGCAATTGTCACCAATGATGTTGGTGAAGTTAAATCAAAGAAAATCAAAGTACTCGTTCAAAAGGCACCAGAATTGAAAAAGAAACCGCAAGCCTTGGTAACAGTGAAAGAAGGTCAGCCAGCTCAATTCGATTGCGAATTTGATGGAAATCCCGCACCTAAAGTGACTTGGTTACGTGATGGTAAACCAGTGACACCGAAGGACGGCTTCGAAGTCAAAACCGATACAGCAACAGGCAAGAGCGTATTGACAATTAATCAAGCAACGCCTAAGCATGCTGGTCCGATCACGTTACGTTTGGAAAATTCGGTTGGCCAACCGATTGAAGAAGTTGTTCAATTACAAGTTGAAACGGCACCGCAATTATTACAAAAACCACAACCGACATGTGAAGCACATGTTAACCAAACAGCAACGATGCTCTTCAAATGTTTAGCAACACCTAAACCAACAGTTAAATTATATAAGAATGAGATACAAATTCCACTGAATGGTGACCATTATGAACTTGTTCCGAGTCCAACTGATTCTACAACGTATGAAATTAAGATAAAGAATGTTCGTCCTGAAGATGAAGGTAACTATCGTATCGACATTGAGAATCCTCTCGGCAAAACAAGTGCCAATGTTCAAGTTACAACTGTTGACGATGTTTCTATCAAACCGTCATCAAAACCGAATAAAACCGACTTGAAACAACACGAAACTTTAATACTTGAATATATTGTCGACGGTAAACCAAAACCGGATATTATCTTTATGAAAGATGGTAAAGAAGTCAAACCATCACCGAAAACACAAATAACATACGATGAGAAGACGAAAGTTTGTCGATTGGTTACGACCGATGTTGGACAAGATGATCAAGGTACTTATACATTAATTGCTAAGAATAAATTAGGTGAACAAAAAACTGAACCTATTAAAGTCACAGTCACTGCACCATTAATTGTTAAGACAAAGCTACCAGAAACAACGGACGCCGTTGCGGGTGAACCGACAACATTGACTGTTGAAGCTGATGGTCTTCCACAACCAAAAGTGACATGGCTGTTCAATGGTCAACCAATTAAACCTTCACCTAAATACAAGATCGAAACATCCAAAGATAATCCAAATCAGACTGTATTGACAATACCGAAATCTGATACAACTGACACTGGTAAATACACAGCAGTTATTGATAACGGTCTAGAAAAGGTTGAAACAAGTACAACATTAACGGTACATACGAAGCCGAAGTTAGAATCAAAACTCGAACCAAATTTGACTTATAACGTTGGTGATCAAGCTGAAATACCGATACGTCTCAGTGGAGAGAATAATACCGTGACATGGTATAAAGACTCAAAAGAAATCCAATTCGACGATCGCATACGGCTCGTTACAAATGAATACAATTCTTACAAACTAGTTATCGATGATTTACGCACGAATGATAAAGGTACTTACTCAATGGTAATCAAAAATAAGGGTGGTGTCTTAGAAATCAAAACAGTACTGAATGTCAAAGAAGAAAAACCACAATTACTAGCCGATTTGAATGATTCACCAACTGCGAATACGGCGAAGATTGGCGAAAAATTCTTCTTGGAGATTCGTGCACAAGGCAAACCAAGACCGAAGGTTATATGGCTATTGAATGGTCAAGAATTATCTGACAAGTCGTCTGACTACGAAATAGTTGTTACAGAAGATGGCATCTATCGTATTGTATTTCATCATTTTGACGAACGATACCTTGGCGAATATCAAGCAGTCATCACCAGTACAGCAGGCTCTATTCGAACACGAATCATTCGCGTTGTTGGTCAACAGGCGCCGATCTTTACACAAGCTCCGCCGAAATTCATACAAATCAAAACAGGTGAACGATTAACCATCGAATGTATGGTCAAAGGGCATCCACCACCGAAAATCACTTGGTTACATGATGGTAAAGTTCTTTCCAATAAGGATGGCTTTGATATTCAAGTTGACGAGAAAACCGGTCATTCAATATTTATTATTCCACAAGCAACGGTTAAACATTCAGGCAAGTACGAATGCAAAGTTGAAAATCAATACGGTACACACACAGCTGAAATCAATATCGATGTTCTTCGTAAGTGATTGATATGAGAATGCTTGAAGAGAGTCAACTTCTTTTGATTTTACTCTTTTAGCACCACCGGTTACTCAACAGAAACTGAAAGACTTCGATGTGTCTCGTGGGCAAGAAGTAACAATTACAGTTACTGCCAACGGTTCACCTTTACCTGCATGTACATGGTTCCATGATGATAAACCACTACAAGTCAAACCAAATCGCATCATCATGATCGATGAAGGACCGAAACATATTTTGAAATTACTTGATGTCGAATTAACTGACGCAGGAATGTACAAAGTAAGAAATATCTACGTGTCATATTGGTTTTCCTACATTTTCTCTTTTTCTTTTCTAGGCTGTTGTAGAAAGTGCTGTGAGTATAACTGAATTAATAAGTAAAGTTACTGTTCGAGGTAAGTTGAATCCGTCAGAAAACCAAAACTGACTTTGTTCGATTTGTATAGACGTTTCCGATGAATCATCTGTACCAGTCGAAGTACGTGTGAGTGAAGGTGGTTCATGTACACTCGAATGTCATGCACCAGGTTCACCATTACCTCAAGTAACATGGTCAAGAGATGGCCAGCAAATACAAGCGAGTGAACATTTTGTTTTTGAATCATCGGAAACTGGTACACATCGTTTAATTATCAAAAATGCACAATACGCTCACGCTGGTAGATATGTGGCCAATGTCAAGCACAAAGTACAAACGCATTTCATGAACTTCAACGTCACAGTCACAGGTAAGCGGTAGAATTAATAAATGAACAAAGTACATCAAGTATGCTGATCTAGAACGCAAACCAGGAACATCTGCGACGGCGACCATCAATTTAACCGGATTGAGTAAGAAAGAATTATTCTGTTAAATGATAGTTTACCACTCATTTTTAGCTCCTGAACAACAAGTTCAACAAATTCAAACACAAGTTCGTCCACTATTCCTTCATTTCGGTTTACAAGATATTCCTCCATCGTTCAATGACATCCTCTTCAATATGACTCAAGACAAGAACTTCAAAACACCGCAGGATCAATTGAAAGAACGCGACCGTTTATTAAACGTTCTCTCCAACTATCTATACCAAAATTCCAATCAACAATTAGGTCGTGGCAAGAAGCTAAACTGGCCCGAAGTAGTCAAAATTATCTTCTACAATCGGTTTCCACAAATTGCACAAACCAATCCGATTGTTGATTCACCAGATGGATACAGCGTTCAAATGAATGATCTCATTCAATATTCGAAATAGACAAACATTATGAAATTTTCTTGTTGTTTTTTTCTTTCTATATGATTATTATTCAAATTCATATTATTCATATCGCTTTTCTTAATGCACGACTATTTTTATCCGCTCTATTCATTCACCTTTTCCTTTGAATTTATTTGCAATAATAAAGTATCTCATACAGTTGAAGAGTTATTCGATTGAAAACGTCATCAATTGATGATTTCCTATAATATTTTTATTATTCGACTTGAACATCATCACCACGGACACTCTGACGTATGGAAGAAAGAGAAAAATTCCATTGGAGCTTCTTATTATTTTGTTTTTCTAATCACACACACACACACACACAAACATGCATCTCCTCTCTGCATTTCGATCAATGTATGAAAAGAAACGAACAACTGAAGTAGTAGAAGGTTAACACACCACGATCGAGCACATCACTAGTATACGTTAACTAGAGAGAGAGAGAGAGAAAGTATAAAGAGTAGGATAAGACAAGAGAACAAAATCGTAGAAAAAAAGAAAATGAGAAATATGAATTGACCTTTTTTGTACATGAATTTCCCCCCTCATCTCTTATTTCATTGTGTTAAGAAAACATGTTGCTAATTCTAGAACTGTTTGTATAAAAACGAAGAGCAACGGCAAAAAATAATGTATAACAAAAGGGGAGAACAGAGATGATTTGACCATCTCTCATTGTTAATAAGGAGAAGCAAAACGACGAGAAAAGAAAACCACAGAAATAAGAAATGATACGTCACAACAGGATGAATGCGAGCGCATACTGTAAGAAATCGAGAGAGAGAGAGAGAGAGAAAGGAACATTTGACTAGAGATGAGGAAGGAGGGCCGACGGATCGATTATGTCCTTATGGATACATGATATCTTCGATCTTCTTCAATAGTTCTTTCGTATATTCAATGGCTTGCTCAGCTTGAGCTGAAAAGCAAAAAACGTGTGTAATTTCAAACCTTCGATGTGAATGAGCTCTACTTACAAACTGTGAACACTTCAGCGGGAATTTTAGCAAATCGTGCTGCATTGGGATATTGCATACGATTTGGATCGCCAATCCATTTATATAATTTATAACCAATTTCTCTGACATCATTGTCAACACCGATTAATAATCCAGGAATATCTGCAGTCATATTCTTTCCTGTGTCTCTATAATAATGATAAGCTTTCAATGCTTTTTCTGCCGCCTAAAACACATTCATCTGTGAACAAAGAGGCACCTGTGCAAAACATGGATCTTACTCGGTAGCATTTATAGCAAGCCCAATCATAGGCAACTTGACCAGTCGATGAATGCATGTCACTGTATGCACTTTCCAGATCATGTTGTGCTTGTTTAAGCCATCGGTCGGCTTCTGATTGTTGATAGTTACGTTTTCGACGTGCATTTGGACTTTCTTCTACGAAAAACGAAAGCAAAACTCTCATGTACGAGTTTTCTATTAAGAAAATTATCAACACTTACTTCCTCCGGTTGCTTGAGAATTGGTGCCATTGGAGTTCGTTGGTCCAACGTTTTCTTCTGCTGTACTGAAAAATCCATGGCGTCGTTGAAAGCCATGCTGACGACGATACTGCCATTCTTCACGCGCTGTTCGAAAAGACGATGAGCGATGTGGACTGAATCGACCCTTGGAACCGCCATCGGCATCGTGACTATCTGTATGGTCTTTATTGTTACTTCCATTGGGTATGTCTTGATAGCTACGTTTGGTTTCATCATTCGCGTCTTTATTCAAGTTATCAAAACTGCCGAACCGATCATCCGCTGTTGCTGACGATGAATTCGATTGTTGATTGGATTTCGTTGAGGTCGAACTGTGCTTGTTCCAGCTGAATTTCGGATCTGAGGCTGAGAATGGTGAATGATGAAAGTTATTGAATGTATTGAAGAACGATGTGAGAGGATCGTTTTCGAAGTGATCTATTTGTTTACGTAAATGTTTGAATACTTCGGCAGCAAAACGTTCACGACCGGGATTTTTATCGGGATGCCATTTCAGTAATAATTTCTTCACAGTTTTCTTTCGTTCTTGTCCAGTTAGTTGAAAAGCTTGTCGAACAGCATTGTAAATTTCTGTCTTCGTCAACTCTAGTTCAGTTTTATCGATCGTATCTTGTTCATTGGTTTGGGCTGATTCCGAGTCCGATTGAGAATCCGTTGTTGGGTTACTCGAGGAATCACTGTCAGCAGATGTCTGTCGATGAGTTTTCGTATTATCGAACCCATTGGTTGAACCAGAATCACTGCTAAAGCCAGTACTTTCGAAATGATTTCGTTCCGATCGTCGCGACGATGACGAATACTTCTCGTTGTTATGTTTATCCTTTTCGCCGTTAGTTTTTCCTAAAAAGAACATACATCAGACAATTCGTCGAGATCGAGCTGTTCAATCTTACCTTGGGTATTACTTGATGAACTCGATGCTGTCGATTTGAATGTTTCTCTTTCATCCACAGGTTTCGTATGCACAGCATCGAAGATTCGTGACCAATGTTCGAGAACATAAAAGTTTGCTGCTTCGATTCGTTGAGTATCTTTTGCATCATTCACTCGACAAATAAACACATAGGATGCTATGATTGATGATGAATTACTCTTCTTCCATGAGCGATTTTCCTGATCATTCGTTGCTTGATGCGGATATTCTTTAATAATCTTCTCTACTTCACAATAAATATACAAATCATTATCACGGTAAACACACAGATCTCCAGGTAAAATTTGATGCAATTCCACATTGAATTGTTGTAATTGTTCGATATCATCGCCATACACATTGCCCGGCGATGGGATATACTGTAATTTGAGCGTTGATAAAATATTTTCTTCGGTGGCTACGTTAACTAAATTTAAAAACTTCGACATTTGTCCAATGGTTGTGGCCAGTAAAGCAGCTACGACTGAATTATCCAGTTGTAATTCGGATAAGCCTAGGCACGGACTCAATGCTCGTGCCAAACATAAGGTAAAATAAGGCTGTTCAGTGTGTTTCATACTAATGTATAACGTAATGTTCTCTTCACCTTCGGCAACCAAATAAACAGCTTTTTCATCCACAGATTGATCGACTTTCTGTTGAGTTTTCTTGTAAACTAAGTTTGTTTCGAGGTACTCGACACAAGTGACTTTCACAAATGTTAAACGTTGTCGAATGAGATTTTCCACATCATCCATGGAGATAATCTTCGGGTTTTGTTGTCGAGCGACGTGATTGGCAATCACACGTGCCATACAACGATGTAAATGTCGAGAGGACAACAACTGGTTGTACTTTCTTTCCAAATTGAAAAGAAAACGCTGTCGATGAGATTCTTCATCTTCGGGAATCGTGATCGAAAATGATTCTTCATACTTCTGCGAGAAAAGTACCGGACGTTGGCTCACAAAGATCTTATCAATGATATCTTTCACATGTGTTATAGATGAATTTGTTTTCGTATTCGTTGTCGATGGACTAGGATCAAGTTTTAGCACACGTTCATTTGGATTAAACATGAATTTATCATGAACTAATTTCGTCATATAATCAAGTTTGCTCTTGTCATCCATGATGACAATATCATTAGATTTGACTAATTTAAAATCATTCGTTACAAGGTAAAGACCTAGGAAACAAGAAAAAGCGTCGATAGACGTTTAGCCTTTGAATTATTTTCGATCGAAGCCCCAAAACGATCTGTACGACTTCATCAATTGAAAAAAAAAGTATAGGGAATAAAGCATGCGCGAAACATTCTAAGTAATTATGTCTCGATAGCTGAAAGTTTGCGAAAAGAAGTACTCGATCTCAGCAGGTGCTTTATTCATCGAGGAGAGTCTTTTTCAATAGTCGAAATCTATAGAAAAAGCAAATCGATCTTACCAGGTAGTTTTGTTTGCGAGTTAATCGTTGAATTAATAGCTAAGTATTTAAAGAAACATTCCATTGCTTTCAACGATTTGCACAATTCATTGGAGTTCAGATAGTCTTGGTCGCAGACCTTGGACAATTTCCGAAGAATGTCGCCGTATAACATCGGGTGAGGATCGGCTTGAACACCGATATGTAGAAAGAATTCTTTATACTCATGAAAATCTTGATCGAGTGAGAACAAAAACGGAGGAATTTCATCGGCGATGGGTAGATTCAAACAAAAATATTTGCCGTGAAGAAATTGTCGACGTGTACGAGAATAAATGCATTCTCGATCTTCTAATTCTTTGTAAATCTCGGCGCGACGTTCGTGTTTGATCTCGTATTGGAAATAATGATAAATGGTCTTCAATACTGATATTAGAATATCGTCAGTACCTTGTTGGGGAATGACTGTTGGAGATGATTTGGGATTATTACTAAAGGAGAGAGAGAGAGAGACGATATGAGAAATATCGTGCGAAAATCGAAAACTAACTTGATTTTATGGTATTTAAGCGAGAATTTCTTGGCAAGATTGGAAAGATTCTTTTGTACCAAAGCGTACGATGGTTTTTTATTTAATTTGAAGAAGTCCAGTGCATTCTGTTCGATGGGTTGTTGTTTTTCACTGAAATCATCATACTGTTCAAGGCGAACGAATTCTGGCAATAAATACGACGATGTCCAACATAATCTCGCATCTTTCAGCAATTCACCATCGCTTAGCTTAATACACGTATGTCGAAAATGTTCGGCAGGATTGATATTATCCGAAGAATTTGTGTATTGTTCGTGCAATTGCATGAGATCATCACTTTCGAAATGCATTTGATGGGGTTCGAGAAATTTATAATCAAGGATGGAATTATCGTAACGTGTCCAGTTGGTGAGTAAGTGTTCGTAGAGATATTTCGAACGTTTACGCAATTCATTCGTCCAACCTTCTTGTTTAACATTCAATTGGATTGATTCCATGATTTGTTTACACTTATCGGTTGGAATATACGAACGAAGGCCGCATTCTTTAAGAAACTTGAGCATTGTTGGCGTGTGAAATTGTTCATCGGGAAAATGATGAACATCTAATATTGAGCGGATATTTTTTATATGTGGATCGTACAATTCAAAGATCGGACAGATTTCCGGTGGATCACGCTACAAGAGAGAGAAGAAATCTAATGCATGATGTCGAAGCTTCGCTAGCGAAATTCTTACCGATGATCTCGAACTTCCCATTGTTCTATGTAAATGCTCATGATGATGATGATTGTTTGCCGATTGTGTAAAGATTTCCAAGTGATCGTGCAGTTGCTTTCGACATTGATCTTTTTCATGTTGAAATAACTTATCATCGATATCATCGGTAAAATATTTCAGTAGATTCGCTTGTGATCGAACATCTAGTTTTCTGAAATGCGGCAAACACAATTGAGAAAAGATCTCCATATCCGACGGGATGATGAATCGTATGTGTGTGAAGATTTTACTCAACGGTTCGATTTTCTTCTGCATTAGTAAAACGGTTTTCTTCTCATGGAACTGTTCGGTGAAGAAATTTCGTTTGAACGAACGCCGAATTATATTCGACCATTCTTCATTCAGAATATACACGTGTGCAAAGTTTTCCAATGAACAACATTGCTGAATTGGCTGTTGTTTGTCATCCGTGGATGCAATGCCCCAAAGTGGCTTATAAATTTTCAATTCACGTAATTTTTGAAAATTACCTTGAAAACCACTTGTTAAAAAATCATTGAAATATTTTAATATTATGATAATATCATCATCCGATAAGTTATTCGTTATTTGAGTATGTTTATTAGATTCGAGAAGAAATTCTAAGACGATGTTCGGATTGGATTCGTCCATTGTTTCGACTAATTGTGGATTGATGTGTGGATCGTCGAGTCGTGCAAGAATCGATTCCAGTTTCTTATTACCGAAGATTCTCGGGAATAAGCGCGACGAATTATTGTTCGTCGGGGATGAAGTGTTCGTCATTGACGTGTTTGGTAGAGTTGCCGACGATACTGTTGCAGTAGCAATGGGATTTTTCTGTACTTTAACACCGGCCTTGAGACAAACACGTCGATCAACAGATGGATGCACGTAATGTTCGTTCTGTGCGGCTGGAGAAGAAGTTGACACTACGAAAGAAAATAAATATATGAGAAGAAAAGGAATAACTCAGACAGGTAAAATAAAAATAGAAGATAAAAAAAATACAACTGGAGAAATTTGATAGAGAGATAAACATAATAAAAGAGAGAGTAAAAGAAGAACAGGAGGAGAAAACCGCGAAAGTGTTTGGTAGAACAGAGAGAAAAATGAAAGAAAAACTTCTCCTTTCTCCTTTACAATTTATTGTGCATGGAAGTTTGAAGTAAATTGTCTGATCATTGCATTTTCGTGGTGTCGATGACATTGCATATGAGAACAATAAGACGTATACACACACACACACACTAACTGTGCTTCTTTCGTTTTTTTCTTCTTCTTCTGCTTGATAAAGAGTTATGCACAGCGAACTAGACTGCAACCACAACAACCAACGGCAATTGTGTCGATGGCTTCACAGACGCGATAAGATGACGGACAGAATCGAGAGAAGAAATGTACTCTTACTTTCAAATACAATCAGAAAGTAAGCAATGATCAGGAGAACGACAAGGCTACAGTTATAATAACGCAAACTACTGCTGAGTATGTTTGCATATATTGTGTACTCATTCGAAAGCTCATAAAACATACCGTAAAGAAGATGATGATGATCATCATCATCAACATGAAATATGTATATATTTACATTTATATTTAATTGACCATGTCGATGATTATGCATCAAATCGAAGAAAGATGAAAGAATATAGAATGTTACGGATGAATTACCTTATTTATGAGAGGTGGATAGAACGAAGAAAACGAAATGAAGAGAAAAACACACACGCACAGGGGCATTCTTCCACTTACCATTTTGTTCTCTTTCGAACGGATAAAAAAATAAATTCGAGCCCAAATGAAGCACACAATCAACATTTGGCAAATATAATTGAATATTCGTATGAAAAACATTCGAGTATTGTTCGATCAATAGCGTATAAATGTTTTGCAATAAACTCAAATCGTCTTTATCGATCGGCTTCGTACCATACTTCTTGCGAATTTGGTCGATGATATTCAAAAGATCCTTTCCATCCAGTTGATTTTTTATTTGTAGTAAATCAATGAAGAAATGTCGATAAGTCTTTTGCAACGAAACAGGTATTGTATAGTAGTAAGGCTTTAAATGTTTGGAATGTTTACTCGACGATGGATTCGGTGATTGCCATAATAGCTGAGAGAGAGAAAGAAACAAATACGTATCGACGGATGAGGTATCAGTGAAGTAAACTAATCGACGCTGCGAGAAGAATTGTCGGATTTCGTTTTTAACGGTTTCAATTTGCTCCGGACCCATAGCTGACGAACGAAATTCTAATTCATTCGATTTTTGTAAATGCGGAAAGCAGAAGGCTTGAATGTAATCATAAATCGCATAGCTCATGTCGAGTATGTATTTCGACGTTAATTGATGGTTGTACGTTACTGTTCCGGAACTATTTACAATTGATAACTTGGAGATTTCGTCGAGTTGTTTGAGAATGTTATTCAATTCGATCTTCGTTGCGTCATCAAGTGCAAGAAAATGTTCGACTTGTTTAGTTATGATAATTTGTTCTTGATTCGCTTTCGATTGTTCGGCTATGGGCCATGTTGAACAAACGAGTTGTTCGTATTGGGGTGAGAGTACATCGCGTGGTTTGAACAAACGTTTCGAATATTTGTCACCCATCCACGTTAAATTGATTCCATTTAACTCCTGTGGACGAAGTTTAATTGGAATGAATGCTAATTCGCGAAGTTGAATCGATGCGCGTGTGCGCGCTTCTTTATCATGTAGTGCTTCATGTGTGTTTGAAATCGACGACGAAGAGTTCGTTGTTGATTTCTCTCGTGAATTCGACGACGACGATTGTCGAGAACGACGATCGGACGAGTCATCGTTCTCGTCGAAGGTTCTCGTCGGATTGGAATTCGACATCGTTAACATATCATTGAGAATTTGAAGAAGTGCGACTGAACGTTCATAGGCAAGATCATAATCACGCATACGTTGAATTGATTCGCAGCGTTCGACTAATTCGGGCCATGTTACAAGGTTGTCATCACATTTCATACCTATTTAAAAGGCAGAGAGAAAATCGAGAGTGAAGGAAAATTATTTTCGTAAGATAGATCGTTGTAATTAAAAGTATATCAATGTCCTTGAAGATATTTATTTTCGCGGAAGGAGAAATATTCAATAAATTACATTTGATTTTCAGGAGATACTGCTTACGATCGAAAATGACTGATTATTTGGCAGAAAAAAAGGCGTGAAAGATATCTAATCTAACATTTTCTCTACCCTCTCATAACTCGAATACGAGTCAATTGATTTGTTTCATCAACATTCTTTCCGTCGGAAAATATCACATATGCTTCAGTCGTCTTCTTACCGAGTAATTTCAAAACATTGAGCCGATCTTCTCGTAAATATGAATCTTGCCCACCGTATGGAAATAACGAATCAATATCGGAGTAGAGCGATGCTAGACGGCAATAAGGATGAATTAATTTCGATGGTTTGTTCAATGTTCGGCCATTTGGTGTACACGGAATACAACAATGTTGCTTGAGAATATTCAACATTGTGTTATCCGCATTGTCCAATGCGAATAGAACCAGCGTATCCTTGACATTCTTCGGTAGGACATTCAAATTGGGCAGAAGTAAATCATTGTATGCTCGATAGTGATCGTAGAGATTCTTCTGGTATTCACTGCCGGACATTTTCCGAATGAAGAAATCTTCTTCAGTTAATAATTGAGTCTTCTTCTCTTTCGATATGGTTGATAATGCTTGAACTACTGTTTCTTTTATATTCGTTTGCTTATTGAATATATCTATGGGAGAAAAGAAGAGGATGCACCCGTCTTAATAAACTGTCCTTGAAATTTTACCTGGTAAATAAAGATAGACCTTGTCATCGGACAAATCAAGTGTGCTCGAGAAAGTAATACGCGTTTGCTCGTCGTGAAGATTTTTACTTTTTGAATTATTATTGTTATTTGTTTGTGGTTGTTGGTGATGATGATGATGATGATGATGGTGGTGGTTGGTGTTAGACTTTGCATGGGATTTCAATTCGAAGTCGTTGATCAATTGTAATAGACGACGGTCAGTTGTGTAGGTTTCTTTAATCCATCGAAAGAGATTCTCGTCAATCGGTTGTTGATGATGATTTCGTAATAAATCTTCGATTTTTGATGATTCCGGTTGACTTTTCACTCCCATGGATTCGAAGAATTTCCGATAGCTGTATAATTCATATGGAAGAATTTGTATATACGATGCTAGTGGATGTGTTTTGTCGACAAGATAAATCTGATTCGTCGACGAAAATCCATTCGTGCCATTCCATATCCATTCAGTTAGATTACACTTGCGCATTTCGTTGTGTATATCATTCGTATTAGTAAAATGTGTCAATGTATCATAGAGACGTTTGCATAGATTCAGATAATCGAATGTTTCGTTTTTTTGTTCATGGGCTGAACTTTTTTGATAACACAGAACTAAGCATTTCAATTGTTTGATCAATAGGTCAAGTTTAATTTCACGGAAGTCAAGTATTGTTCGATTCGATGAACGTGTTGTATGATAAAACGATTCTGGAAGATCAATCGATGAAACCAAAGCTACACCGCCTACGAGATACGCATTTGTCTTATCACAAATTTCGCGTGGATTAACGAATGATCGACGAGTATCGATCGAACCTAGAAGATACGAATTAATTAGATTGTTTACAATAACCGATGACATTGTTGATCGTTCCACTAATCAAAAAAGTTCGTTGTCAACTGAACTAATGAACGTCACTGACCTCTGCCTTAATTGACAAATTATTTCGATCGATAGGGAACATCAAGGTGAATTCAGAGAACTCCAATATGACACTTACCTTGCCATGTTAATGACAATGGATAACCATGTGGTCTTTCAATCATAACTGGCATCCAAGCTGTGATATTCAAATATTGTTTCAGACTGAGCCGTTTCGATTGCGAATATTCTTCGATTAATTTCGAATTCTGATGTAAAATATCGATGATAAATTCAGCTAGTAACAACATCAATGAACGTTTGCCGGCTGTTGATGATGATGATTCTTTCATTGTCCCTTCGCATATGTCGATCAATTCATCGCATTTGATATCGTAAAACTGGCGTAATTTCAAATGTTTTAATAGTGTTAACGATTCATGTACACTGCATAGTTCGATTGCGGGAAGGTATTTTAATTCGAATAGACTTAAATATTTTTCTTTATTATTTACGTGAAATGATGACGGATCGAACATTTGTTGGCACGAACATAGTTCCCCTTTTCGATTGAGAAATAACCGACACGATGATAAGGTATCTTGACTAACAGCATCGCTCAAGATCAAATTCGAACAGTTCGATAGTAACCACTTTCCTAGGAATAACATTTTATGTTGATCATTTTTTAGATTGATATTCGTTGCATTCTGTTGCTGTTGAATATTCGATTGTTGCTGATGGCCGATTGCTGTGATTAAATATCTTGCCACATGTGTAAAATCATGTATGACATAGCCTAATTTATCCAATAGAATACGTGAATCACTATCCGTTACATGAATACACTGTTTCGGTGGTTGTAAATCAATTGGTAGTTTCGTCCCAGATTCATAAATGTATAAAATATTATTCAAACTAATGTATTTATAATATTGTTGTTGGTTTTGGGCTTGTGTATGGTGATTACTTTCATGAATGACATAGGCATTATCAAAAATGGGCAGTTGTTTAATACATTGAATGTTTGAATCATCTAATTGTTGTGTCATAATACGTGATAGATATTGTCGAAGTAATTTCATATCATGTTCGTTTAATAGTGTATTGAATTCATGTTGAATCTTCAATTGAGTAAAATGTCTTAGGCGACATTTGAGAATTTGCAATAAACCTAAGCATGAGAGCTGAGGAACATACTCTTCGATTAGTTTATGCCGACGGATGATTTCGGGAAAGGGTTCAACACAGTGAAAGTTCAGTTTCAAAAGCACTTTTTGTATAGCTAAATCATCTTTACTCGGCACAGTCGGCAGCTGGATAAGGCCGATGTTCTTCGATAGTTTGTATAACGATATGGTGTTATTGTTCGATGCTGAGCCTAACGGTCGTGAACTTGGCTGCAAATAGAGTATGTTGGTGTTTTCCAGGAGTGTTAAGTCGTTGGGAAGCTTTTCATTGATATATTTCCAAAGATTTTCAAGCCATGGAATGTTGTAATAGTCGTGAGTGCGTGGCCACTGTATACAGTCATCACCACGACGCCATTCTCGTGGTAACATAACTAAATCAGCGAAATCTTTGGCTGGCATTGTTTGCAATTGTGTACGATCTAATAAAGACAAAGAAAAAAACTTCTCCAGCTGATACCGAGTTGATTTCAAATTCTGGAAAGCTTCGAAGTAAATAAATTCATCGTCATACTCAGTTTATTAGCAAATGTCAACAAGAAAGACGAGAAGGATTTTGCTTTTGTCGATCTATTGATTGATTAATCCCAATCGTCTGTCTTTGTCTACAGTTTTATTGTGTACGAAAGATGAAGAAGAAGAAGAAGAAGAGAGAAAAAAAGGAACAACTTCAATGTCTGTCTAGGTCTTTATACTTTTAACAACGTACGAATGGCAACGAGATTGTGATAGTAACAGCTGTGTATAAAAGAATTGTCAATAAGAGGTCAAGATTGAATAGTGTCCGTTTTCATTACTGTTAGAAATTCGATCGTTTCTTTTTCTTATACAAAAGAGCAGAAAAGAAATAATGAATTCCAAGCAATCTTCTTTTCAATTCATTAACAATTTCAACGAACGAGAAGAGGAACAATCAACGAACTTCTGATCTGACAAACGGAGTTTCTCTACAGTGTTTTCTTCTAAAAAAAAAAAAACTAAACGTCTTTATCTGGATGTGAGCCGTCTCGCACATATACATACTTGGATGTCCTTCTTAACAATGAGCAGTCTACTCATGCATTCGCTCGTTCGCGTCGAAAGAGAGAAAGAGAAAGCAATCAGACACTTATATTTATACGTATATATAAACATATGTGGTTTTGTGGTTCGAGATTCGATTGTCACGTTGTCGCTAGCTCTCTCGTGTAATGACAATCGTAAAAGAAAATATATAAAGCGCTTAAGGATTGACGATGATATGTGTACGCAAGTGAAGAGAAAGTGTTTTGGCTTTGGCGATGATGAGATTTTCGGTTTTTGTTTATTCTTTTTCAAGAACAAGGTCTTCTTTAAAATAGAAAAAAAAGAAAGAAAATCTAATCAAGAGAGAGAGAGACATTATGCCATACGTATTACGCTGCGAGCGCACTCTGTTTTATTATGGTCTGTTGATTAAGAAAGAATCTGACAAAAAAGTTTTTTTGTTGATGTATAACTTTTTTCGAATGTGAACGATGAGTTTTTTTGTTGTCATTTCTACCAAGGATAAATGACAGGTTTTGCACTGTCTTCTTCTAACTGATATTTACTTGAAACATTTTCTATTTTTATCCTTATAAAACAACTGAAAAGTATATGCCAGCGCAGAAAGATAAATATCTCCATTGTTTCTTGAACTGATTAGTAAGTCTAAGAATTTCTGAAGTATGTACATATCTCTGATCGCGATATGTCTAAAGAAAGGAATGAAAAGTCTATTACACAATTTTCATACGTGTAGATGTATCTAATTAAAGAAAAGCGCAACTGTTCAAGATACACGAACCCTCAATGTATTGTTGCGGCACTACTGTAGGTATTGGAGTAGTTGGTTGAGAGTGGCGTAGTGAATTGTGTATAGATGGTCTTGACGCGCGTGAACTTTCATCTTGTTGCTTTGATGGTGATGGAGGTGCTGGAAGAGATGTAATTGTATTGCGAGTTGATTTATGCATCGACGGTCGGGTCGAACGTGATGTTTCATCAGGTTGTTGTTTTGGTATTGATTTTGGCGTTGAAGGTATTCCAGATGTATTTCGTGATGAATTAGGAGGCATATTTACTCGTGGAGAACGCGAATTCATTTCATTGGCTTTCGGAGCTAGAATAGGTGTGGAATTAGGTGTTAAAGAATTGCGTGATGTATTAGGAATCATTGATTGGAGAGAATATGAATTTTCATCGTACGAATGAGCAGCGGAATTCTGCATCGGTGCTCGGGGAGAAGGCATTTCACGATCATATTGTTCAGATAATAATGTTGGCGTTGGAGTCATGACTGATGTATTACGTGTTGAGGCGTGCGCACTCGGTCTTGGAGTAAGATCCCAAGCAGATAAGAATCGGGAACGATGTTGATTTAACGGGCCCAAGTACGACGAAGAAAATCTTGGAGATGGTGTACGAAGACGTTGTTGATGGTGTTGAGGAAATATCAGAGGAGTACGGTGAAAATAACGCGTGGTCATCGTCGGTGTCGATGGATTTCGATGACTTTGTACATTAGTCTCATTATGATTCTTGGCAGTATGCGGTTTCTGTTCATCAGCTGTTGGTTTAGTTGCTGAAAAACTATGTCTTGCATCCATAGTATCTTTAGTTGAACGTATACCACGGATATATATATGTATGTATATGATGTAGTTTTTTATTTCAGGCTAGACGATAATCGTAATCATCATCCTCAATCTTCACTCTATTCTTCTTTTCGTACGGCGAACGTGTGATGAAGAAGAAGAGTGATAGTAAGAGAGTGGTGGCGTATGTACAGGGACGTCATCATAAAAAACTTGTACGTATATTCGTAGGAAAAAAGAGAAGGAGAGAGAGAAAGGAGAGAAAGAGAACGTATTCAAGCACGATCGGTGTGGTGAGTGAGAAGAAAGAGCAGCAAGGTAAAAAATCAAGAGAGAACAGCAAAAGAGAACAGTAATATACACAATATATTACCAAGCAGAAGAGTAATACCATCACTGATTCTCATTTCTCTCTCTCACTCTCTGTTACTCGCTTTCTATTCTATTCATGGTAGCACGGTGCACCGGTAGAATGCAGCTATGTAATGTCATCACATAATGAAGTTGTTATCAAAATGATTGTGGTCGATATTTTTTTACGTAATCATTAACATACACACATGTCGTTTGAGAGAAACTTGATTGAACTGAAATGAACTAATAATAAAACTGATACAACTAGATCAATCACTTCCAAAGGAACCAGATTATACAATCCTATACACATGTTATTCTAATCTATTGACAAAATATCGACGTAGATGTGTGCCAATTGAAATAAAGGGAAATACGCCATATAATGTCTATTCCTTCGCAATAATCAGTGACCTTCGAGGAAATTTCGTCAATTTTTTCTCGTGCGATTTCACTGCCTATACTCGAGTAGGGAAAGGAACGAGACAAATTTGTTTCGATATGTCTATTGATTACCTTGAGATAAGTTTATTTTTTTAATAGGTTTTCAATTGACATGAAGGAACATTTTTCCGATCATTACCATACAGTGTAATGAGCACATGTAAAATGTTTTTTCTCTAATATCTGTAAAGATAATGTGAAAGGTCGACCCAACTACAATTTTCTCTGTATATCAATACGACTTGTTAATAGTGCTATGTTACCTTATCGGAAATATCGACCTCTTTTTCTTGTTTCGAAGAACAAAAGTTCGCAACATATTCTCAACGTAACGAAAGTTCTATTTTCTCATCTTCTCTAAACATTCTACGACAAAAAACCTAGAGTGCATGAATATTTTCAAGAACTACTTAGATCGTGTACCATGGTCATTCGGTGCTGATGGTTCATCATTGTCTATCAGGATGTCTTTGAAAAGTTGAAGATCGAGCGAGAGAGGCTGTGGTAAATGTTCTTTCAACCAACCGTTTTCCAGACAGACCGGCAACGACGATGATACAACTGGATTTGGATTATCAATATTCGGAGATTTACAGCGAAAGATCGAGAGATTCTTCGACGCCAGAAAGTGATTGAAAGATACATGACGTTTTTTCGACGAGCTAGTACTATGATTGATTGATGCCATTCGAAACAACGTCGAAGAGGAAGAAAGTGAGCTTGTCCAAATGATTCCAGATTATATAGACCTGATCGAAGGATTTTTTCTTATGTTCTATATACAATCAATAATACCCATCTCTGTTCTTCGATTAGTCCGTTTTTTCTCTCTTCTCGTTTTCTTTTTTTCATCACATATTCAAATTCCTGCCTGTATTCCTCCTGTCAAAGAACATCGGCCAAACGACCTTCATCATATTAGACCTTTTGAACACACATATATAATTCTAAACTTAACTGCTCACGAAATCCTTTCAAAATCACTGCCTTTACTTTCTGACTTTTTTTCTTTTCTCCTGTTCTTACGATACGATATCTCGTTCCGTACAACAATGTACTCGAAATCTAGATTTATTATTACGATGCTTACAATTGTTTCAACTGATATCCCATACATCGAAACTGAAACCTTACAGCGAACGTAATCTCTTACAGATTTGTTTGCCAAACGGTTAATTATACGCAGCTATTCTAAGCTTTCATTCGTTATTTAACATTGAAAATATCGAACGATAAGTACTGGTATTTTCTCTCATGTTCAATAAATGCCATAGACATGCTCAATTCGGATATATAAATTCAAGTGTGAATGAATATATATATATACATAAAGGGGAACAAGGAGAACTCTTGAAAATCACTTATAAAGCTTGATGTCAATAAGAGATGGTGTTAGCAAATAAGGAATATATTACCTTTCGAGATTGAATTCGAAGGTGAGGATGGAACAGATGATTGTTCTTTGTAGCGATATACGCGCTTCGACGACAAAGGCTGATCGTTGAAAGAAGTCGTTTCGGATCTGTTCGATAAATGTGAACTTCTTGCACAATTCATATTACCCATTCAAAGAAGAAGAAGAAAAAGAAGTTCGATTTATCGGTATTTAATCGATTTCAATTCAATTTCCTTCTTCTTCGGCGCGATTGTTTTGTTTCGTTTAGTCTTCCTATTGAAGATGATAATCGTAGTAAATCCTTGAAGAAAATTCGCCTTTTCTTCGTTGTTTTACTATGATACTAGTCGATATTGACAGATCAATTTTGCCAAGTATTCGTTAGAATAACACTCATCGTCATCTTATGAAATGTACACATATAAATGTAAGTATATGTATGTATTTAACGTGGAAAAAATCGAAGAAAGGAAGCATCCATGCATATGAGTTCAAGTGCTTACTGTAGCCGTCAACCAACAACGGTCGAGTAGAATTTCGAACTGCAATTGTTGAGCTGTGGCTAGATGAGGGATAGAGACAGAAAAAGGAGAGTAGAGAGAGAGGGAGAGACAGGGAGGAAAGGCAGAGAAAAAATAATCATAGGAAACACACTAGAGATAGAGCTTGAATGTATGTTGTTATGTGTCAGAATAAATAAGTAATCGCTTGTGAACGGCTGATTGTATCAGACGGTTATTATTAATCTGTATCGTGTCATCATATTTCATGAATAGTTTATTTACTTTGAAACAATTCACTTGAAAAGAGAGCTGCGAGAATGCAATCACTTTTTCTGCTTCGTTGTCTTGATTATGCGACAAGCGCGAAGAAAGAACTTGAAAAGATTAACGAGACTCATTTGTAGCCTTAGATGTATAGTTAAATACAGCAAGCCGATCTTCTACACACCGCATCGATATGAAAATATGCGCATTGATAATTAAACCATTGACCATGGAAGAGATACAATAAACATGCACAAAACTCACTTCACCTTGTGTTGACAAAGACTCTTACGTTAGATTCGTTTCGTTTCGAAATCTACAGATAATGATAATGATCAGTTGAGTATGGTTTCAATTGACCTTGCGCTCAAAAATACTGAACCTCAACTCTTCTAACATGTGTATGCATTAGACATAAAACGGCCTCGATCTGCCCATTCCAAACCTACTTGAACTGATAAATCATAGTGAATCTAATTGCTGCTTAGTCATTTACAATCAAGTCGATAGCGATGTTCTTTGATCATCTTATGACATGTGCAGAACATACGTACAGGAGAGAAAGCCTTGATCATCACTTAAGGTTAACTAATAACACACACACGCACACAAAATGCCAGCATTACTTTTCTTTATCTTGCTATTCGAACAACTTCTCGTTCACCTTGAACATTTCTACTTATATCCACATATGAAGATAAATATAATAAAGAAAACAAACATATACACGCATTTTTATTCGATCTGACTTTGGCGAATATTTATTCGTTGTTTTTTTTTCGTTATCGCAAGAATATTTTTACTCACTATTCATTACCTCGATCATGAGACGCTGGTGAAGTTGATTCCGCCCTTCGACTGTTTTTCGAATAACGATCAGAATAATTTCCCGGTGAATTATTATAATTTGCTGGTCGATACATATTCACCTTTTTCGAAACCAAATAGAAGAAAAAACAACACACGTGTAGTCGCACTTATTGTCGCTATCGGTTTATAGTACCACTTGCGGTCGTCGTCGACATTCAGTTTGTTGCAGTTAAAGACATTTTCTTTTTCTTTTCTCTGCCGCTCTTTTTCTTTCTCTCTCTCTCTCTCACTCCCTTCCTCTCTTGCACGCATAGCTTCTTTTGGCTTCGCTTTACTAGGTCTGCCCGTTGTTTGAATAAAAACTTCACTCTGTTGAAACTCAGCAAGTACGTGAGAAAGAAAAGAAAAATGTGCTTAGAAATAGAAGGTAACTACTATATAACAAAAACAACAAAAATCTTTCTTCACCAACAATTTCTTCCTTCTGCTCGTTTTCACTCTTCACAGATTTACCACTTAATTCGAAACGATGAAAGTAAAATAAAAGCAACAGACGAGAAAGACAAATACTGATCAAGTGTAAATCAAAGCAAAACAATATACATGTCTGTCTTACCTTGAAAATTCTTCGATGATAATTTATCGAATAAATCTTGATCGATCATCGGATTTAGAAACCGATCATGTTGCTCCTTGTGAAATAGTTTCAAGAAATTCAAATTTCGATCCATGACATACACCGTAATCGCTTGTTTTGTTTGAAATGTTGCGAACGTATGATTTGCTAATGGCAACAATTCTAATTCCAATACTAAACTCGGATCAGGATCATTCAAAATGATGTATTTTAAGAGAGACACTTTCTGTTGGAATGATAAACGCAGAAGCAACGATGAGTTCTTCGCTAATAACTCCGATGCGTGAAACGGTGTCATCACTTGTAAATATTGTTTATTTGAATATTTACACAAACCATTGATAACGTGAGACGGTAAGATAACAATAGGTGCATTTGCTTCAGAAAACACAAATGTGAGGACATCCTGAATGGGTCCTGCTTCGACGTTATTGATGATCATATCCTCAATCGCAACATAGCCCCAGCCATCTGTTACGGAATAGAACAGTTCTTGTTTACCTAGAAGAGATTTGTTCATATTAAAGTGAAGAACGAATTTCTACTTGATTTCTTGTTCAAATCGCCTATTCATGGCAACTTAATAGAACATTGCCTCGAACAA